TGGTACGTATTGATTGTTTAAAACTAACTGTTTCTTATGAGTTTATATACTAATTATTAATTTCTATCTAACATTAATTGATAATTGTATTATTATCTTATTTACAAGGATGTTACATCCGATTCTTCGTGTATCTCTGACGTCGAGGTATATATTCCTTTGATCATGTGTGTTAGTTTTTTCTTTTTGTTTATTAACTTTTAATCTTTTAAATCTAACTTTTATATTTGACGTTTATACACAGGAAAACGTCAAAGAGGTAGGCTACAAACATGTTTGTTTCGTCTCCATGTTGATAGCGAATTCGTATTCTCATACAAATAGTTTTAATACATTGTTTCTTTCTTATGTAGTATCTCGATGATGTGTTTGCTGCAGTTGATCTTTCTTCTGTCCTGGTAAATATCTGACACGGTCGTTAATTAGTAACGTTTTTATCGTCTCTATATATTGATCTTAACAACACAATGTTGAATTTTATATTTATTTGAATTCCTAGCATGTCGAGGCCAGTGCTGCAGTTCTATCGTTAGATGAGGTAATTATTGAATTACTTGGTTACTATGTAGTTGTATATTATTAATATATAATGTATGATTCAACTACTTTATCTTTATCTAACGCTATATTGTTTGTAAATAATAAGTTCAAGGATGTGCTTTCGGATCTAGGTGCATTGTCGGCCGATAAAGATTACGTTTTGGCTGTACTTTACCTGGTATATTATTATTGGGTTTTTATTTATAATATTACGCATTTTATTCCTATTTATACTCTATATATATTGACAAATTATAATCCATAAATATTGACAAATATACTATAGGAATCTCGGACACAGTTGAAGTCTCTATACTTGAGATATCTTTTGTCCAGATATCTACAGGTTGGTATATGTTGTCAATTTTTATATTCGATATGTATGTTTCGAAGCTTAAACAGAAAAATAAAAAGAAAAAAACTTATATCTTCGTTGATTTGTATAGGAGGCAAAATCATTGGACCCTCTGATGCAGACTAAAAAGGTTAATTGGTAACTCTATATAGTGTGCAGTTTGATTTATTATTTGGTAACATTCGTTCCGATTTACGTGTTTGATAAATGTTGGTAATATAAGTTATATTGCTTATACTTTATTTTGTATATCTTCCAGAATTATGCTGACTTGCGGATGAAGTATTTTGGTGATGGGGTGAGATAATTTATATCTATCTTACTAATAGTTGATGTACATATATTATATATATAGTCAGTTTGTATTCATGTAATAAGATACTAATGTGTTGTCTATTATTATCTTGAAGCGTTTTGTTGCTGCTGGTATGAAGCCATACCCGTCTGACGGTCTTGAGTGTGATGAGATTTTAATGAATACCAATGAAGATACTCTTGAGTGTATTAATGATATTGTCATCAGTAGTTGGCGTTTATGCCCGGCGTATCTACGCCTTCGTTTTGTTGAATCGTTGATACTCTATAAAAGCATTAATGTCCACACGGTATGGGACGCTTGCTATCGAGTTTTGAGTGGTGATGTGTTGGCTGAACAGAAAATCGCGCGTAATAATCCTGGTATTAATCTATCATCAATACTAAATACTTATAGATGTTGTTTGACTTGATAGTTGTGTCTCAAAAAGGTGTTGCTTTTTATTACACTAGGGTTGGAGTTATCCGATGTGCAATTAGAGTGGTATGGTTTTCGTGTTATGCGTAAGGTGATGGGTGATCTTGGATTCCATCATGCCGGTTTTGAAGGTGTGCGTCTTGGTATAGTTCGCCGACTCTTAACTTACAAATGTGATGACATGTCAATGTGATATTGGCCTAGATTTGTTATCGTTGTCTTGGTTTTGTTTTATCGGTGTTATAGTTTCGGTATTGGTTTATTATTCCACCTAATACTATCAATATAATAGTGTCTTGGTGTTATTTATTTTATCATTTTATCGTTTTGGGAATTATTAACCTTTATGATTTATTATTTATGAATTTGTTATTTTAATTGGGTTTGTTCTTTCCTGTGTATTTAATGTGATTATCAACTATATCATGTTCGTAATGCGAATTATATACGAAGTACCGCGTAATCCATAATTTTTAACTACATGTATTTGTTGCTGTATCACTTTTTCTAAGATATTCATTTATAACTTTTTCTAGCTAAGATATTCATTTATAACTTTTTCTAGAATATTTCTGTTTATGCGTAATTTTCTTTGATAGTTGAACAATAATGCGTCTGTGTTTGCTATCATTATTACAAAGACTTAGAACTTCCGACGACTGTTATCATGTTTCTCGACACATAGACGATGCGTGTAGGTTATCATCGCTTATCTCTTCTGTAATTTTTTTTATTATGTTCGTATGCGGTAAAAATTGAATGGGATTAACTGTACTGTTTTGTAGTAATAATTAGAAAATAACCAGTTATGATTTGACGTCGTCTGTACCGTATTTTATAGTTCGATATATCTACTTGCTTTTAGATATTCCGTTTCATTTAAATATATACTCTCATACTCTCTCCTCTGTTTTATTATTATTATTCACGCTATTATATATAAGCAAACCAAACAAAAAGAACAAAAAAAAAAAAAAAAAAAAACAGCTACTTCATCAACACGACCGAAAAGAAAGAAAAAAATATTATTTTATCGCGATTATTATGGAAATCGCGTGTAATAATAAACAAAATCTCTACAATTAGGGGTACTGTTATGATATGCATCGATTGTGATAAATACTAAATTGACATTTTTAATAGTTACAATTTTATTTATATAGTATAGTTTCTGGATATGCGTTATAGTTCTATATATATTTCGCTTTAGTGAGTTTTTGTAATTTAGTCTGAAAGATGTTATATGATATAAGTTAAAAACTCTGTTGAGGTGACATACATGATACATAGCTTGTCATTGGTTATAGTTTTTTTGTATTACTCATTCAAAAAAGTTGTTTCTCAAAATGCATCGTGTGGTTTTGGTTTCCGTCGTTAGGTAAAATGGAACTTTATTTGCGTCCCTAATAACTTACACCATTTGTATATATTATTATTATGGTGTTGATAATAGAGTGATATTTTTTACCCTTAAGTTTCGTTAGTATATATTTCAGTTTAACTGTTGAGATTTAGTTTCTTTTTTTAAAACTTAATTTATTAATCTTATGGATAAATTCTATATCGTTTAATCAATATTCGTTTTTGTTAATTTTCTGATTTAGTTTTTAATATATATTTTCCATTTTTATGTTCTTTCCAAATAATCGTTAGGTCTACATATATGTATCCCGCATTTATACCTCATTGGAATATTTAGCCGCGTAATCTTTTGTTATGGGTTCTACAATGATACCTTTTACATCTGATTCATGTGATGGTGGTTATTTTCGTATTGCGTCTCTTAACCCTAACATGGGTGAGTGGTCTGTCTCGGTGAAGATTTTGAATTGTTGGTCTGTTTCGCGTGGCACGGGTAGAGAGCTCAATATGATTTTGGGTGACGAGCATGTTAGTTTTTTGATAACTTACCTGCTATACATGTTTTCGATATTAAATTGAATTGGTTTTGTCTTTAACGTTTTATTTGCAGTTCACACAAATCCAAGCCGTTGTTCGTGATGAATTAATTGATAATTATCTTTCAAGATTGATAATCGATGAGTGGGTGAGCATTAAAATTTTTGATGTATCACAGGTTAACAGCATATTGAGACCAGTACCGCATAGATTCAAGATTGTGTTTCGTTCGGACACTTTAGTGCAAAGTATTAATATGTGCTCCAGTAGAACCCATTTCAATCTAACTGAGTTTGTGAGTATATTGAGTGGTATTGTTAATCCGAATATTTGCGTTGGTAAGCCTAATTTATAAATTTATTTGTGCTTTTGGAGTTTATTTGCGGTTCATGTTCTGACTGTATTATTCATGTGTGTGTTTCATAGATGTTGTTGGCAAAATTGTCAACGTGAGAGAGTTGGTTTTTGTTCCTTCCGTGGAACATTCTCAAGGAGGATATTTTGAGCTGTACTTTGGTTTACGTGATACTGAGTAAGTCACTATTCTTTTAAAGATTTAAACCAGAATATAATGTCTTATGACTTCTTCAAATCTTAAAATTAGGTGTATCCATCTAGAGTGTCGTTTAACGGGTGACCTTGCAGTCGAGTTCTATGACTTATGGAAGCATCGTTCACGTAACACAGTGATATGTATTATCAAGTTTGTGAAATTAGAGCTATCACAGGAACATAGGTGGAGATGTACCAATGTTACCGGAAGTACGAGGATTATGTTGAATCCGGATCTCAGTATTACCGACGAGATGCTTTGTTGGTAAGTATTTTTTTTTTCCGTTTACAATCAAAACTCTAAAGTTGGCGACTGGACATTCACTGTTTATGGTGTTCTTAATCGGATGTCAGGAATCCTGAAAATGACCAAGTACTGATCATCACACGGAAGAAGAATGCCATGGAGTGATGATGTTCGTTGATTTCTTATTTTGTTGGTGAATGATTTTAAAAGATGATTTATTATTATTTTTTAGCATTTATAATATTATTGAATTTTTTAAATTTCATCATTTTCCATAATTTTACCACACTAAATCCTAAACAATTTACCATTTTTTTCTTACACTACCAACTAACACCTAAACAATCCCTTATTTCACATGATTTTACCATTTATACAACATTCTTCCCGCGCATGCGCGCGGGCAATCACCTAGTTATTTGTAATTGACACACATTTCAGACCAAAAAGATGATGAGGATAAAAAAATATGTGTTTGGAAAATGTGGTAGTATAATTACTATATAAAAAAAAGGAAACAACAGCAAAAAAAATTGTCTCTTTTACTATATAGCGGATTTAAATGTATCTTTATTTTTTAAAAAAGATACACATAGTTTAAACGGGCTTCAACGGATAGGGTTTAAACGGTATTAAAAAAATATGCTAAACGGGCCAGATTTAAACAGGCCGGATTTAAACGGGCCTGGTCCGCCCATATTAACATTACTTAGCTAGACTACACTGCTGAATCATAAGCGCCTTGTTTGATCAGAGAGATGTGATGTTCGATCAGAGACGCAACTCTAATGGCAGCTGTTTGTGATAGGAAATCAAAGTATAGTATTAATAGCTCAGAAAACAACACTCCAAGTGAAGCAGAAAATGAGCAATTGAGCATAGATCAGGGAACTATTTAAGTAACTGAGAGCATTCACAAGCTATCAAAAGATTCACTAGCAATCAAACTTAGCAAGAACTCGAAGTTTCGGGTTGAACATTGCTTCTCAAGTCTCAATCTTTGGCTTCTTAAAAAGTCGGCTTTGAGGAACACTTGTTGAAGCAATTTCCATAGCTAGAAGACTAGTGCTTAAGGCAGAAAATGTCACCAATGAAGCTTCTAATAACCTAATGGCCTACAGTGTGAAACAGAATGTTAATAGCCAATGTTATGTGTTGAAATGAAAGAAGAATATTCACAAGCATTTACCTCTTCTTTCCTAATGGTGATCACTTGAATCTCAACATCGTCTAACCGGACCTGTTTTTCCTTTAGCAGTCCAATGGTTGAGGTTGAATTTGAAGGTGTAATGATCAAATCATCTGTCACCATAAACTTTGTCCCTCTCTTCATAAATCCACCACTAGATGTTGTTGACTCATCACTAGTGTTACCATCACCTTCAGATTTTGGATCTATCGAAATCACGGGCACAAGTTTATCCCACTCATAAACAAGTGGCTTATCAGAGTTTTCAGACAAATTGTACTCTCTAAAATGATCCACGGAGAAGGAAACATAACTGTAGTAAGTTGGTGGCTCATGGGGTGTGACAACATCAAGAAGCTGCTTATGACACTTGTAGTAGTGAGGAAGTACACATTTAGCTTCTCTACTAGAAACAATACTTAAATCCTTAAAGCTTCTGCACAAGTTTCCAATGCATCCAAGGATGGTTCCATTCCCAACTATTCCCCATACAGATTCTAGAGGCATAGCAAGAAAAGTAAAGAGAAGATCAACAAAATCTTCGCCACATTCAACAAACAGAATGTTCCCTTCCTTCTTCCTAACATAGGCATTTAGCGTAATCGTTTGATCAGCTTTTGATTCCTCTCTTTCTTCACGGAGGGCAGGACTCAGCGGTTTGTGAATTCTCTTCATGCCATATGAGCTTTTCTTTTTCAGAAATGTATCGGTCAATGGAGTATCCGATGTGAATAAGCACTCCAACAAAGTTGCTACCTACGAAAATTAAGAGAAAACTGGCATAAGAACATGGAAGTTTAAAAGTCTAGTAGAAGAAAAGTTAATACCTCTTCGAAGTTAAAGTTGTAAATCATCTCAACCAACTTATTACAATCAGTGTAGCCAAGATCTTTAAGAACGTTAAGTGTTAACTCAACAGAGCTAACTTCCACTTTCAAATCATCGGTGATTACGAATGAAGTATGATCACTCCTCACAAATACTCCACCTTCAGCACCATTTCCTACTGTAGCTCCAACTCCTTCTCCTTGAAACTGAATCACTTCATCCATCAAATTCCCACAGCTACATCTCGATGTATTAAAATTGCTATACCATTTACAACATTGCCCGCTTCGCTCAAACATAGGGCATATGAAACACTTTGTACGCTCAGAATCATCTATCCTTATCTTGAGGTTTCGACATTTCTCCTGATTCAAACTGCCCGGATACAAAAGCATTTGCTTACAAGCTTCAGTCCTGAAATGCTTCATGCCCATACTCAAAACACTTCCATAGATATTGTTGAAACAGCCTATTGATATTGATTGTGACTTCTGATGCATCTCCATCAATCTAACAATCTTTCCCATTGGCAACGTCATAAAACTAAAGAGTATATCGACAAAATCTTTACCCGTCTCAGCGAATACAACCTTGTTTTTCTCTTCATCTATGAGTAGTTTCAACTTAATCACCGGATTCTTCAAAGCATCTGACATGTCTTGAAACAAAGAAAAAAATTCACGTTTTTACACAGCCAATATTGCATTGATTAAGTTAAAAGAAGGTCAACACTTTGACACTTGCAGATCATAATGAAAAGCGAACAAAGCAGATTCTGTTCAAATGATGCTAAAATACGCAATGATGTTACCAAAGAACAGAAACGTCAGAAGAACATAGACTAACAAAAACAGAGGAAACTACAAACACAAGAAGATATATGCTGCAAAAGATTTTACCTTGATAACTTTACTTTGGTTTAAAACTCACAGTGAACCAGACAATCGTTCTCCCTTGTTAGGCCTTAAGGTTTATATAATACTTAAGTGGAGGAAGAGGAAGAGTTTAGAGAAGTTGTGGTTAAAGACCATAATTAAAGGTTTTGGGAATGGAAGAGGCAACAGATAACGAAGTAAACCCAAAGGTTAAGAAGAAGTCTAAGTTGTTTAACTATAACCGTTCAAGTTCTCGTAATAATTGAACAAAACATTCAAGAAACAAAGTGGATGTTTCATTGGATTCAATGAATTTGATATTCCCACATAATCACTTTCTTTCTTTCCGAAATCATCAGCGAATATACCACTAGACTTGGTCTGAAACCATAAAAGCAAAGAAAAGAACATATACCAAATCCACACTACAAAGCAGATGATATAAGATGAAATTTGAGAGAGAGCAACTGTGTTTTGGACATTACAGTAGACAAGAAGATGAGCATTAAAGGAGTTTATTGAGAAATTTAAACCATGGATAATGATCTTGAGAAATATCACACTTTCTTGTTAAAGTTTCTGACTTTACCCATCAGCCTAGTTCACTTATATTCTAGAAAGCTCGTCAGAATGAAAAACTAGAGAACACTGAAACATACATTTACCACAAAAGCTTTCATTTTGCTCGGTCACAACCGAGCTTATCGGCTCATAATCAAACAAAGTATAACATAATACTGAACCCGCGACAACTTCTATAGCCGCGTTCTTTCAAAAGAGCAGAAACACTCAAGTAGTATACATATAAGAATAGCTAAAAGAACAATACACACCCCAAACCTCTCTCACTCTCTACACAACCAAAGTTAGAATTCTAAGCAACACAATAAGATTTATCTCAGTCACAGGACAAGAATCAGGTTTATTTCGGTTAAAAGTTCCTCATGATCCATACATTCTCATTACAATTTTAGCAAAACAAGATTTTGATTTGAGCACAAGAGTAACAATTTGCAATTGAGAACAAAATAAGAAATTTTACATTAGGCTGAATCATCAGTCTTCTCTTTCCCTTTACTAAAGAAATCATCGATACGACGAGTCCCAATTGGCGGCGGAGGAGCCTTCTTGTCGGAAACTGATTTGGTATGTTTGACTGGCTGAGCCGGTAACGGAAGAGAGTCTAAGAGGAAATCACTCGTGGGTTGGTGTCTTTTAACGGCGGTTCTTAAATGATCGAGATTAACAGTTTTTCGCTTCTTCTCCGCCGTAACAATAGCTGATTTCTCGGCGAGGAAGTGGAGGAAGAGTTCTGTGGAGTAAGTGATGACGTGAAGAGCTTCTGAGTTGATTTTGTTGATTTCTTTGTCGAGTTTCATTATCTTCTTTACTCTTCCGAGAGGAAACTCTGGTCGAGTTGATGTTTCTTCTTCCGCCATTGATTTTGTGGAGGAAAATCTCACAAAAGGTAATGAATTGTATATGTTCGACATTTTTAGGGTTTTGAGTTTTTAGGCGCTATGTCACGGCGGGAAAATGAAAATGAGCCATGAGAAAACATGTAAATTGGGCAAAAATTCCAAACCGGATTATAGCCGAAACGGACCGAATCGAAATTTTGTTTATCCGGTTTAAGCTTAAACCGATCGTGTGAGATTGAAAAGAACGTTCGATGACTGGTTCGGTTTGTAGATTTTTATGCTTTGAGTCACATTCTAGCTCAAATTAGTAGTCTATTTAAAAGTTCGATGACCGATTCGGTTCGTAGATTTTATGTTATGAATCACATTCTAGCTCAAATTAGTAGTAATGCACGAAAGCTACAGCTTGGTACAAATCTCCTAGCTACCCAAACTAAACACCATCCATCCCACGGACTATAAGTTTCGACCGCCTATGCCAATTTCTTACCATTTCGGAATGTCGGCCTTCATCCTTCACGATCACAACGGATTAAAGGAGTGGCATATCGAACTCGAATTGCCCTCAAATAAACAAATGAGCTTTAGAGATAGTTCAAGTTGTGTTAATGATTTGAGATTATACTCCTATATGGCTGTAGGAAGCTAAGTCTTTCTTGACTCAAAGATGTTTTTAATCTTGAGAGACCATCTACCGCAATTTCTCATTTTGTAATTAGATGACAAATACAAATACTAAAATCTTTTCATTTTTCCCAATCATCAGATTATAAACGGACTAACTAAAGCTGTTTTGCAACCGTAACAACCATAACTAATCTTTTTTTCCCTTTACCTTTACCAATGTCCAATTTTAAAACTAACAGCCGAAACGGACCATCACAAGATTCATCACACACAACACTCGTTCCTCTATAACGTTTTGAGGTTCTTGTATCTTCCTACCATTGACTCAAGAAGCTGTTGAAACATCGCATGGCCACATATTGAGTACTAGACTAGACATGAACCAAACACATCCAACAAAGTCTATATACTGAACCATCCACAACAATACCCTAAACTATTATACAAAAGAAGCTTTGAATCTTTGGATCAAACTCATCATCTTAATCCTAAAGATTAAGCCACCATTAATGACATATTCGAGAATTTTGACTATGAACAGTAACAACCGAACACAATCACAAGAAGCTTATGAATCTGTTCTCATCTATGTGTATATATATAATCAACTTACAAGACAGAGAATAAGAGAGTTCAAGAGAGAAGAATCGTTTACAAAGTAAACAGATTTCTTGAGAATCAATAAGGACGATTCGGTGGTTGAACCGTAATCTGAGCCGGTAAAGGTCTACCGGTTCCAGAACCACCACAATTGCTACAAACCGCACGACCTGAACCAGAACACCTACGACATCCAACGTCACCATCAGACCAACGAGAACAGAAACACGTGACTCGTCCCGTACCATTACAAGTCGGACAACGAGGGAATTGACCAGCCATAGGTTTTTGGTCCAAGACCGATTTGATAAAAACCGCACCGGCTAAAACGCTGAGTCCTGTGGCTAACTGGGTTATGACGATCGGACTCATTGTTGGTTTCAAGAAGAGAGATAGGGTTGGTTTGGTTGCCAATTTTGGGGATAACGCAAAAGTAGAATCGTGAAGAAATTGAAGAAGAGAGACGTCTCGAGGAAAAGAAAAAAGATTTTTATTTATTTTGTGTTCAGACAAAAGTGTGGTCTTGTTTTAATTTGATACGGTTCGGTTTATTTTGAAGTAAATACAATTTTGGAGATAAGGTAATGGTTGAGAAAGTAAACACGTGGGCTAGTGAGAGTTAAGTTGTTGTGTGAGGAGATGAATAAGCCAGCCGTGAGTTTTTGGATTTGGGTTTTCATTGGGCCGTGTGGGTAAAAATATCTTCTACAATCTTCAACTTTTCTTTTCTTTTAGATTATCACTTATTTATCTGGTTGCTTACTTACGAAAAAAAAAAAAAAATCTGGTTGCTTACTTTAAAATTTTTTTGAGTATGTTAATAAGTATATGTTTAATTTATGGTATATATAATAAATATAAAAATTTCCAAAATAAATATAAATAAATGAGAAAAAAATTATACTAGTAGAAAGATTGGAATATGAAACAATAAAGAGAGAGATATGGATGATTTTGTATTAAAAGTTTTTGTTTGAGTGTGTAAATAAATCGAGATAGATAAGATAGGTTATTGTGTTCGATGAATAACATTGAGCTCCACATAAATTATATTTTATATATAATATTTAATTTGTAAAGCATTTTTTTCTTACTTTCGCAACATAATAGGTTTTTTCTCTGACTTTCGCAACATAATAGGTTTTTTGTGAGAAGTTTTTTACAAATTCACTACGAATTAGTTAATTAGGCCAAAGTCCAAACTATGTTACGAATAAGTTAATAAGGAAATGACTTAGTTTAAAGTGATAATTGAACTTATATGCACTAAAACTAGAGGAATGCAATTCTTATTATTATTTTTTTTTGTTATGGTCTACCGTTCTAGTCCAACTATTATTGTACTACATCTTGCAAGGGTTGCAATTGTAACCTCCTTTTCTTGTTGGGTTAATTTTGTTTCTTTCAAGTTTGTACCATAACTATGGAGCTTGAATTGTCACGCGATGCCCTCTTCTCCACGAACAAATCACGCGTCGAACGCAGCCATAAACGTGTCCAATGATGTACGAAGAAACTATTATCTCAACAACACGTGCTTACTTCCATTATTGGGCTTTTCACATTGGGCGTGGCCCATTTATGAAGATTCTAAGCTATTGCTGCATTATTTTGAAGTTTTTATTATTATATTGTGTTGTGTGTTTGTGTGTGATAAATCATATAAAGTAGTAGATTAATCTAATCTAGTGTGGTGTTCAAAAAAAAATCTAATCAGTGTCCCACTGTCTTAGATTGTGCTTATTGTTCTCTAATTCTATGGCATCTTAAATTTATTGGTAATTGCCTTAATTGAAATGTCTAAGCCGTGATCCATATATCTTTAACATCTTGAATTATTGCATTTGACATCTTTAGCTTAATGTAGTTAGTTTTATTTTGCTTTGCTTGTTTCTTCATGCTTAATAGCTATGATTTTTTTACTTTCTGAATATAGTTCATTAGGATTTGTGTCTTGAAACCAAAAATCATCATCATCATAGCTTAGATCGTTTTATCATTACCAAACGAAAAATACTTCTAATTCTAATCATATCCCAATATGTCTAATCTTGCTATAAATTCGTTTCATATACTCCCTTAACATGCATGCTATATATATATATATACTAGAAATTGACCCGCGGTACACCGCGGAGCTATATTTTATTTTTAAAAGTCGAAATTTAAATCTTTTGAAGTTTATCTACAGATATAACCTATATTTTTTTAAAAATTGTACATATATATCTATATATTATTCAGTGTGAGTGTACGATTAGTATGTTTTAGGTTTCAATTTTTAAAATATAGAAATGAAAACATACAGTTCATTAAGTAACGATGTATGGCGGATTTAAATTTAATTTCTTTTGTTGTTTGCATTTTATTATAATATTTTTAAATAATATAAATAATTTTATATATGTCAATAATGATATTTTTGAGTAAATAAATATTATAACAATGCAGTATGGATGTAATTGTAGCAAGGATAGTTATGGCTAATAAATATATTTTGTAGAGATCTTTTGGCAATGATTGTTTAGGTTAATATCTTTGATTTAATTTTGAAAATCTAAATAATAAATGCCAATGGGATGCCATCGTAAATAGTAGTAAACTCAAGGGCTATGTTTCTTTTTAAAAATTAATTTTTTTTTTTAAAGATTATCTATTGATATAACCTATTGTTTATTAAAAAAAAAATCAACCCGCATGAAACAATATTCTTGAAGAATTTCTATTGTTGATGATATTGTAATGGTCTCATGTGTGCGTCATTTTTTCTACACAAATTTTTGAATTAAGAAATAATTATTTGTTACTGATAAATCGATATTAATTATAATAGGTTTCCAAATATTGAGGGATTTTAAAAAGATTATTTTCTATTTTAAGTTTGTATAATCATATTAAATAATCTGAATTAAATGCGATAATTAAGGGATTTTGTTATAATTAATGAAAATATGAAAATCTTGGAATATCTTTCCATTACTCGATTTTTTTTTTTGATTTTGTCATTAACCTCTTTTCATTAATATTTTTTTTTACATAATAAGAAATTAAAACGGATCAAAACTAACTCTAATTCATAAAATTATTATATAATAAATGTGATCAAATTACATATATATTTTGTTTGTAAAACATTCTTATTGTTGATCCTTGCTTAAGTAGTACACCACATTATTCTTTCTCCAATAATACTTTCACGCTTAAAAAATAAGATCAAATCAAAAGAGGATTGCTATAAACTTCTATTTTCCTTCAAGAAAAAATAAGCAAATTAAATCAAGAACTTATATATATATATATATATATATATATAAAATTAGTTAAAACTAAAACATACATAGAAAAGAAGTATAAGGAATCACTAAATATAAAATACATTAAATTAAAAAAAAAATATTATATGATGTCATTGTTAGCCATAGAAAACCCCGTAACTGTTAGAAAATATTTTGAGATTAGAAAAATTATACTTACCAACCAAAATCCGTATCCAGAGTTTTGTAAAGGCTTATATCATAAAAACAATGAAAACCAATAACATTAGAATAATTAAAGTTAAGAATTAGAATTTTATTTTATTGAAAATTTATTTTTCTTCCTACCTTAAAGAAAATGAATTAAAAGAGTGAACTTGTTAGCCTACAAAATAAAATCATTAACAAACATCATGAAGAAATTAAACATGAAAATGTAAAAAAAAAAATACTGAACACTAAAAACAAAAATAGTATACATGATGATTAGAAGAAGGACTAACTAACCTTTTATTGCATACCTTCTTTAATAGTTTATAAGAGATGAAGTTGATGATCTCCATAGTTTTCCAAAATTTCAATGAAACTGAAACAAATTTCGATCAAGTCAATGGTAGTGATACATCCTCATGATCGTCTCTTATACATACATGCATAAATAGACAAATAATAATATGTTAGAAACGACAAAGCTTCATAAAATTATAAACAATAACAATATAAAGAAATATGAACTAAAAACGAAATTAGAGGTTTGGCGGAATGAATATTTTGATTAGTGGAATAGCATGATCTTATATATATAGTGAAGTAGACCGTGCTGGTTTAGGGTTTTCAAGAAGAATATTCTGTTTATCTTGCTTTAAATGTTTTTAATTATTTACGTTTTAAGAAAATTTTATAGTTAATTCTTTTTGTAAACTTGTCGAAGAATTATCTACATATACATTTTTACAGGGTTTTTTTGCATAAACTCTTTTGGATCCGGGTTTTATCCGGTTTAATTATATTCGGATCCTAGATAAGACAATTAAGGAAGTTTGTAATAAATAAATAAACGACATTATCTCTTTAATCACTCATTTAAACTCTTTTCCTTAACTTCTTCCCACATTAATAGGTTCTTTTTTTCTATAATCTATATTCGGATATTTTTTCTCTCAACTAATTACTCCCTAACATACCTTAAACAAACGACACAATCTCTAAAAATATCTCAACAATCCTCATTTCATCTCTATTTAAGTTAATAATTTGAAATCAAAAACGATTTTCACATATTTGCCAAAATTCTAGCCACAATCTTCCTAAAAATCTACATTATCCTTATTTCTTCCAAACAAAAATATTCATACCGAGTAATTTAAAGAAATTATTTACTACTATACAAAATCGGAATTGCAGCATATTCCTAAAATAAATCGATTACAAAGATTTGATTCGAATTTAGTTAAGGTTGCAAAGATATTTTCCTTCGCTACCATGAATTTCGTAACCTAATCGTCACACGCCTATATATACTCATTAGCTTCACCTTTCATCACACCATCGAACACACAAAGCATTTGCCCACCAAATGTTGTTTTCAAGGAGGTTTTCCAGAATATCAACTGACTCGCTTATTGCCAAAAAGTTTTGACAATAGCCTCCGAGAAGGTATGTAAACCTTAACTTTATTTTCTGTGTATTTCAATTATGGTTTGAAAAAAAAAACCATTCAGTAATGTAAAAGCTAAACATGTGTCAATTTATAATTGCAGGTGACTCATTGCCAATCAATTGTGTCAAATTAAAGCAAAGAATCAACCATATCTTCTTCAACGACATGAAGAACTGTTTATGTTTTTTCAATTTAGTCAAACAGTGATATGGCGAGGTGTACCCAATTTCAATATATATTTTATCTACCAACATTGAAAAGATTACTATTCTATATGCACGTATTTGTTTTAGCTGACTGAATGTTATTTATTTACTAACCTGTATAAACTCTAACTTGATCCCGCATATCGGTACGGTACCTCCAATAGCTTTGTTGGCTCTCTTCTTTTTCTCCACCAGTGAATAGAATGAGTTAAGAGCTATATCAAATAGTAAGTATAATCATTGATATGTTATGTGTAGTAATAAAGATAGTATTAGTGTTTCTTTGCTTTTTAATTTCATTATGTAAGTTATCTATCTAATGCTCTAGACATATTTTGATTAGACATCAGTATTTCGACCAATCAACACTGAAAACTAATAAATTATAATCTTCTACTATCCCATATTCCTTACAACTTATGGTTCTGTTATTTGTTACTAACCTTTGTGGTAGAGACAAATTATGAAGTTTTAATGCTACTTTGATTAGTTGTTTCATAGACTTTACTCTCACCTGCGAAGAAAAGCATAATGTTCTTTAGTTTCACAATTTAGATAGTATAAATAGCACATTATAGGATGAAAGATAATGAATACTTATCTTCCTAATCGTAAACATTTTTATAGTTATCGCCATCGCCTAGATATGCACTTTGTTATTAGCTTGGCTAGACAATCCTATGATGTAAAGTAGTTAGCATAGTTTGGAGAAAGCTAACATGTATGGGGTTTTTTGCTTTATCTATAGCTAACCTGTTATTCGCTTCAAAAGCATATAACAAATAAATAAAAAATCCACTAGATAAAAAATTCAGAGAAAGCTTATACTAACACAAAAATCGACTGGAGCCACTAATGACAGAACCATGAGTAAGTTATCAGTGAAATCGAACCCAAATCAAGTTAGCAAACTGGAAAACACACAAAAAAGTTGGGGCGATGGTTAGTACCAGACATGCCGGTTTTGAGACAGCCGGATAGAGCCTCGACGGATCGGTATTTGGGACCGAGAGTTCCGACGATCTGAGTCAATGCGGGAAGAAATTTTGAGAAATACATATAAAAAAAAAAAGATCAAAGGAACCTCTACAAACAAATTGAATGCTTGGTGGGCAATCGATCCATGCGAAATTGCAAATCGATTAAGAACGGGATACTAAAGCATCGAGCAGTAAGAGAGCTCACCGATTTGAAAGGCTTGAGGATTGAAGCCATCATGATCGGTTCCTCGAGAAGAAGATTGCTCGAATGCATCTTCGGTGATGGAAGTGGAGAGACATCTCACATGTTCGACGGCGACGGGAGAGAAACGCAGAGTGAAAATTCGACGGAAGAGGTTTGGTGATTGTAAAGGCTTGCCGTCGAACATATCGCCGACTGGTTTCAGATATTTATTTTCACTTTTTTTTTTTCCACCAAACGACTGATATGGTCACTTTTTAATTATTTTCCATGACTTGATGCTTCACTAAACACTATGGTTTGTTCATATTTGGTCATTCTCATGTATTTACTGGACTTAACCCATAAACCTGCCCGGGCTGTAATAGTTTTATTTTTTAAAGTCCAATTGCAAACCTTTTATCCAAAAAAAAACTTTTTTTTTTATATATGTATAATTTGATGTAGGTAAATTTACTTTAGTAAAAGAACTGAATTAATTTTATATTATTTAATTTGATATAGTTATATTTATCAAATTTTATGTAATTCGTTTTCCAAATATATTTATTTTAAAGTACATTAATTAAAATATGGTTACTTTAATATTCGTTCTTTAACAAACTCATTTTGCTATTTTACATACTATAAACCAAACTCATGTTGGGAATAAATAATTTGTTTAGTTATAAATTAGATTAACCACAAAAAAAAATTTATTAGCAAAGATATAAAGATTATTTATGTATACTGAATAATATGTTGTTTTAGATTATTATGCAATTTACTCATAATCTTTATTAATGAGGACAACATTTTTTTTTCCTTGATGAAATATGTAAAGTCAAGAATGTTAATATATTCAAACCTAACACAAAAAAGAATCAAACTATATCCGCCATATATCGTTACTTAATGAATTTATGTTTTTGTATCTATATTTTAAAAATTAAAACGTAAAACATACTAACTGTACACTATATATAATATATATATATATATATATATGTGTATATTTAAAAAAAAACACAAAATGATAGTTTATATCTATAGATAATCTTCAAAAAAATTACATTTTAATTTTTTTTTAATATAGTCTCGCGGTATACCGTGGTAATGAACTATATAATTTTCTCTATCTCTATATTTTCAAAAATGAACTTAAAATATACTAATCCTACAATATATAGATATATACATATCTCTATATATACATTTAAATATAAAAAACAATAACATATACTATATAAAAGAAAGCCTTAAAATAAAAGATATTAATTTTTTTTATTTAATAAAAATATAGGCCCGCGGTGTACCGCAGGTTAACATCTAGTTAATACTCAAATCGTAAAGATATTTATGAGAGTATCTTTCTATTGTATATTCATTACTTTTATATATTTATTGTTACGATCTATTTTAAGTAATCTATATTTATGTCAAAGAATAAAAATTAATTTTTTGCTAAACTGATTCGAAATTGATTTTCAAATGATTATTCTTTCCAAAATCTTAACTAAAGATTTGAGCATTAAACGTTTTTAAAGTAATGATATATAGAGTAATTGGTTTCTTTAAAATCGAGATTTACACAAGATTTTAGGAACAATAGATGAGATAAGGTATGTGATAGTAATTAGTTTAGATTGTGGAAATATTCGAAATCAATTAGAGATAAAATTTATTACGGTATGATTAATGTGGCTATTAGTTTAGGTAATATTAACAAAATTTATTCTGCGATTTATGATTGGCCAAATAAGGGATTAAAATTATTACAAACTTCCTAAAATTTTTTATCCAAGATCCGGATAGAGTTAAACCCAGGTAAAACCCGGATCCAAATGAATTAATGCAAAAAAACCCTGTAAAAATGTATATGTAGATTGTTATTTTGATTTTAAATTTATTACAATTTAAATGGGCAATTGCCTATATTTAATCTGTTATTGTAAAAGAAAAATGACATAGCTTATTATTAGAATATTAAACAAATTTATTAACATAATATATATATATATACTGTTAAAAAAATAAATACGTTTTTTTCTTTATAATTTCATAATATATGTATATATTGTTAAAATCTGGACATTTATTTTGAGCATAAATATGAAAACGATTTTCTATTAAAATCGGCTATTTATTAAGGTCATTAATATGAAAGATATTAAGACAACATGGCTTCATTTATTAGTTTGAAATTAAGACAACATCCCTTAAATTGCTAATCCAAGATCCGAATAGACTAAAACCCGGATCAAACCCGGATCCAAAAGAATTAAAGCAAAAAAGTACTATAAAAATGTATATGTAGATACTGTGCGTTTCATCAAGATTTATAATCCTAATGTATAACACGACAAGATGATTTTAAGACAATTGTCAAAGCTCTCTAACCCATGGAAATATTTGGACAAAAAAGAAGAGAGGATTTGGTGTCTTGCAAGTTTCACAGCTCCTATCTTAACTTAACATTAGCTTGCCTGATCCTTAACATAAAATATCTTATTAGGATTTAAAAAGGCATACACTTTCAGTTATAAAACTGGTTCAAGCTGAAGCAGTTTTCATTAAACTGGCCTACCCTGTTTCTATGCAGCGCGGTCGGGCCTTCAACTGCGGGTGGATCCGGCTGCCAATAGCCGGACACTGAATTGAGTTGAGTCGCAGAACGGTTAGCCACAGGTTGGAGGTTGCTTGTGGGATGGTGATCAAGGGTAAAACGTCTTGGTTGGTCAGAGGAAACCCATGTTGTTGAATTTGACAGAAGAGAGAGAGCACCATCAAGATCTTGAGAAGCACCCATGTGTGAAGAGATTGTGACCTTTTCTAAAAATCCGCATAACACAAAGCATCATCAAGTTCATGAATACAAACAGATGAGACCATGTACTTGAAACTCAAGAGAATACAAACCTTTATTGAATAACTCGGTTCTTGCGGTTTTGGTTTTGGGGTCCAACAATCCAAATCTACTGTGCTCAGTGAACAGCTCATTGGAAGTCTCGGTCTTTGCAGGTTGCGGCATTAACCCTCTTGATGGTACGGGCTTCGAACTTGGCCATAGAAACTTTTCCTCACTTCTTGGATGGATAAGAGCAAATCTGTTCCATACAAAATCCACCTGTGGCTTCCCATCTGCATACACAGAATGACAAAAGCATATCCAATTCTCCATCAATGAGATAGTTGTGAGCCCCAAACTACATGACATGATATTTATCTAGAAAAAGGAAAATAACTAATGCTATAACAGAGTTTGACAAAAAAAAAAAAAAAAAAAACTGATGCTATAACTGAATTATAGCCAATTTCAGAGTGCATGTAAGAATAAGAGACAAGTGATTGTTGTATATACCATATGTCCTCCCAGTATTTGGCTTGCGACGTCTTGCATTGTGATCTGAGAGGCGTCGGCGACAGCTACGTTTCTTCTCATCAAACTCAGAGAGACAATGGAACCTTTGGAGACCAAAAAAAAACATAAAAGTTATGATTTCACTAAGGATTTTGCTAACTGATTAAACCACTTTCTCTCTTGAAAAAGACTAGCTTTTACCTGCTACATTGTTGGCAAAACCGACGCTCTACGCCACTCACAACGACTTTAGGAAACTTTGAATGGTTTTCACAAATCCTGTGTTTCCGATGATAGTCTTTAGCTGATGAGAGATCGAGATTACAGCCTTCAACTTGACAGTGAGGAGTTTGTAACCTCTGAGGAATGGATTTCGATTTCTTCACCGGAGAAACAGAAGACGAAGCAAGGCTAACTGGAAGTCCCAAACCTTTCGCATTTTCCACTTCCCAAAAGTCTTCAAAGTACGTTCGTTTACCAAGCTTTAAACCGAGAACAGGATCACCAGAGCCAAAAGAAAGTTCACGACTTGGAGAAGTATCAATTCCCTTTGCAAACTCTTCACTGCTGCCTAATTCTCCAGGAAGACTTTCACCAGCTTCTGATGTAAAATTATGTGTTCTCACTTCAGCTGATGAAGAACTAGTTGACTTTGAGCTTTTAGAGAAAGCATTAGCTAGATCAGAACCTGAACTACCACCATAAGCTACTGCAGCAAAGCTTGAAGAATACAGAGAGGTGCAATCAAACCCATCAATTTCCCACTCCATTGGTTTTAGCTTTCTAGGAATTTCAGCTGATGAAGTACCAAAAGATATCAAATGTTCCAATTCCCATTGAAACGATGGCTTCGCATTACACTCCATCCGACACACTGACCACCAAAATCTGAAAGAAACACAAATTTCATAAGAAACAAGAAACTAGCAACGACCAAAACGTTATTCTATATAAAAGCAATCAGCCAAATTGTAGAGAGAAGACTTTAACTCTAGATTGTCAAACATATGAAGAACCAACAATGGCTTTGTTTTAGAAAGCTACTTCTGTATGAAAGAACATATATAGATGCTACTGTCTAACATAATACTTGGTCTATTTCTTTACTCAACTAGAAACCAGACGATGATGCCTCCAGTTCAACCTTAAACCATAGCAAGAAGAAACAATAAAAACGACGAAATGGAGTTGTCCAAGAAAGACCTAAACTGTGATAGGCAAGGAATGTTACAGATTGAAGTGCCTAGAGAAAGTTTCATGGCTTCTCTATTACAAAATCCTCTGCTTATTCATACCAAATCTACATACTCTTCACCCTAGGTTCTCTAATTTGCTCAAATCTCTATACTCTTTTGGAGACAGATTGCTTTCTGATCAATAACCATATAGTTCTAAAAAGAATTACCAAAAACAGATCTCTAAAAAGCTCCCTCTCTTCCACTATTCAATAACAGAACCATAGTTTTCTACAAGCAAAGTCAAGGGTAATAAAAAGTACTCATATAAAACTTCAACCTAGGAGAAAATCCTCATTTATCTTCTCTGTTATTTGCAGAGATAAAAGGACAAAATCAACAGATCAAACATACCTAAAACTTATGGATCCCAGAGGAAGAAGAAAATGTTCTGTTTTTTTTTTTTTTTTAATACTTTTAGAGTAAGTTTCAATCACAATTTCATCCACATTTATAACAAGACCAACAAAAAAGATACCCTCTCATCATTCTTTCATCACAAAACTTTTTTTTTTTGGCTCACCAATAATTCACATTCATTAGAGATTGTGGGGGCAAAAATCCTTCAAGAAAGTAGGACCCTCCCTTCACACCATTTCATTATCAAAAGCTGTTTACAGATGTAAGATTAAACTTCTCAGCTGTCAAAATCATCCCTTTATTATTACATTCCGTAACATTTCTCTCTACTATACTTTCAAAATCAGTAATTTACAAAAACCCATAAGAGATCATGAACCAAACCCACTAAAGTTTTTATCTTTACACATTTTATTTTGGGAATGAGATCTATAGGACTAATGAAAAAGAGTAACATTGGTTACAACCTTATAGAGAAAGACTATTAGGGTTTCACTTTTTTACTCATCTCTGATTATGATGTTATTTTTGTATGTAGTGAAAATAAAAATGGAAAGAGAGAGAGAGAGAGAGAAAAGAGTAAAGTTGGAAAATCTCAGCCGCAAATGGATGTCTCACCATTTATGGTAATATTATCATTCGTTTCACAAACTTTTTTGTTGATAAGTAAATACCAAAAAATCTATACTTTAAGCTACAAGATTTGCAAGAACCAAAATCTTTATGGAAATTATTGAATGGGTACCTGTAAATTACAGAAAGAGGGAAGGATCTCGTCGTCAATAGAGTAAAGCTTCCATTTTTGGCTTAGCAAAAGAGAGAAGAGCTAAAGAGAGAAAGAGAAGAGAGAGAGAGAGCATGTGGTGTGTGCGAAGCTAAGGACCACCAAGTTGGGAGATGTGGAGGGGTCAAACTACTTTCATCAGCTTCAACTTTTTTGGACGATTCATTTCATTATCGAGAAAAAAAGCAAAGATTTTAATATTTATTAAAACTTTATGTTTTACCCAAAAAAAAGAAAAACAATTTCATAGTATGATTTAGAAAACAATTGCTGAAAAATATACATATATTTTAAAGAAATCAAGTTGGTTTAGTCGTTAAACCTTTCGGTTATCAAAAATGTATAGATAATATTTATTGATAATTTAAACAATTTTTTTTTATGTTTTTTTTTATAAAAATTTTGTATTCCTATTTTATCCTTCATTCTAATTCATTTGATTTCATCATTGAACTTGTCGATCGGCGTTGCCATCACAGATTTCCGTTGCAGTCGTCGGCGTCGCAGATCTTCGTCGCTGTCGCCAGATTTGTTTCCCATGTGACATGTCTGTTTTCCAAATCTCTGTTCTAGTCGTCTGCGTCGCAGAAAACCGTCGCAAATCTTTGTCGTTGTCGCCGGATTTGTTTCACAAGAGTAGATGCTTAGAAATTCTCAATTCCACTAAACACTAAATCATATCCAAATGCAAAATCTAATGAAAAAACAATTCCAAAAGTAATCCAATTCGAAAAATTGAATCCATTGTGCTAAAATCACTGAAATTACACAAATCCAATCGAGTAAATATCAATAAACATGAATCACAAAATGAGGGCCTAGTAACTAAAACACAAACCCAAACATCAATCTATACCCTAAAGAACATAGTTTGATAGTTTCGAAACGAAACCCCAAGAAATTGCTACATTAGAGAAGATATTCGGCCTGCTAATAAAATTAAACAAATCTAAATATCAAACTATACCCTAATAGATAGGAAACACAAAATTTTAGGGTAATGAATTGGGTACCTACAATTGATTTCTTCGCAGGAGAAATGGAAATTCTACAAATTGATTCGACAGAGAAGTCGAGACTGTGAGATATAGTGACGACGATTTGAGTTATAGAACCAAAAAGTTCAATCTGGAAATCGGAAATCGTCAATTGTCGCCGCCGAAATAGTTAGAGTCGACAAAGAAGGAGAAAATAAATATTCTTTCAAAACTCTAGCCTTTCATTAAAGATAAAAATGTCATTGTGTGCATAAAAGTGATATTTTAAAATCTATACTATTAATTGGGAAGGATTAGATAATTTATAACCTTATAAAGTGTAAATAATTATAAAAGATTGCCATTGGTATTTTTGCAATGAAAGAGTAAATTGAAAAATTCGGATAAGGTTAAAGTGGACATATCGATCGGATACATAACCCGGATCCTGGGTTATTATTTCGGATAAACACGCGGACCATCCAGCGTTTTACGGTCCGGGACGCGGATCCTCGATTCGACCCGTTTGACTGTTACAGAACCTAAATCACAGGAGATTCTCCGTATCTGTTACAGAAAATAATTGTCAAAATCATTTCGAAAGTTGCCAAAACAATCAACAGAAATCAATAAAACTCTAAATATTCGCAAAAGTGTTTTTAAGAAAATTCCAAAGTAAATCACCAAATATAAGGAACACAACCAATTTGTAATAACTGCTTTCAATAAAATCTAATCTCAGTTATTATATTTGCCTAATTTCAAAATAACAAAATATTCTAATCCTATCCAATCAAGCATATTCGATTAAGGATTCTATTAAATACGTTTACACAAAAGTAAACCCTAAAAATGAGAGTTGTATATGCTAATAGTATATATAGTAAAAGCGATAATCAACTTTCAAAACACATAATACTTCAAATCTTAACTTCATTTCTTTCTTTTTTTTCGTTAAAAAAATGGCTGCTAATCTTCCTATCACTGAACTTACTAACGTGAAACCTCAAACAATGTTGAAAATCCAAGTGAAAATCGTTCACTCTTGGACTCATTACACTCAATTCATAGGAGAGACAATGGAAATGATTCTTGATGATGTTTCCGTAAGTATTTTTTAACTTCCTGATATCAAACCTTTCAGATTTAAAAAGTATTATTGTTTTGCTTACTACAATTGTGAGTTTTGTAAGGTACTTTGATTCATGCTACTATAAAGAAATAACAGATGAACAAGCTGCAAAAGTTTATCAAGTCGGGAGAGTGGATATTTATTGAAATGTGGAATGCAGGCAAATGACAGGGTTATATGCTTGATTCGACTTGCTAAGATCAATATCTTTAAAGGTACTTAAAGTTAATATTAGGCTACGATTGAGTTTATATTCTTCTATGGTTATACTAACTCACCTTACTTTTAACAGGTGAAATAGCAATTTCAAATGCCTTTGAAATGTCTTTGCTGGAAATCAATCCAGACTATCCTGCTGTCCAAGAGTTTGTGGCTACGTATGTATATTAAACATTTATTTCTACCCTATAAGTTAAATTTTGAAAGAGGTATAGTACTAAATTAACTTATGCTTTATACTCTTTTTAGTTTACCACTTAATGTATTAGCAGTTGCAATCCAAGAAGCAAGCCTAAAGAATAAAAAATATGCAAGAAGAATGAATATTTTCACCGTTTCCCTCGGAAAACAATTTCTGAGCTTTTTGATGTTTCTGAGGTAACATATATATATATATATTTTTTTTTTCTTCCATATATATTTAGTAGTTTGAATATTACTTTATATCAAATAAAGTAACACATGTAGTAATAGGCTTATATATAATATGTGTGTAGGTTGGTAAGTCCAACATTATGTGTACCATCTTGAAAGCCTATACATTCAATATTCTTATCAATTTCTCGAAACAATTGTTATTCTACTCATTTCCTCTCTCTACAATCTCAGACCTTAAATTTTAAAAGCATTACTTTGAGAGATAAAAGTTTCCGATTTTATTAAGTGATATTCTATTATGTAAAACTAAAAAAATTACAGTAGCAGTAAAGGTGAATACTGATTATCAATCAACTTTTCAGATAGTTTTGTAGTTTTAATCTATGATATACTACTTTGATTAAACATACGAAGACAAATATATGAATATAAACAACAGTGTAAAAATCACAGAGGCACTAACCTTTTTTTACATATCGATTTCTGGATATCTCCAATGACTATATAACTCATTCCTTTTCCATATTCTTATGTTAATAGAATCGGATGCTTCACCTTAACACAATGAATTTGTTATTAACATGTTAAACTTTTTAAAGTATTTCAATAATAGTAAGTAAAGCTGCAAATCTGATAAACAAAAAAGTAAAAATTGAGATTTCACCAACCTTTTACATATATATATCCTTACAAGAACAAAACAATATGCCATATATGAAGTAACTAATCTTAAGCTCAATAAAACCAGGTAAATCTGCAAATATAATCAACAAAAATTAAAAAATTAAGAATCTTACTAACCTTTGACACAAAATTTTTTGAATAGCTACAATGATAAAATCCCATTGCCTCCTCCATTGTCTGAAATTACTCGCTAATCATCCTTCACCTGAATACACAAACCAAAAAAAAAATTCAAAACACAGTATACACAAAATATACAAATGTTTTTGCTTTCAAACTAAAAATAGCTACGGATAATCAAGATTAATTGTATACAGAGCTACTCTATATAACGATTCAAAACCACAATGTATCAAATTCGTATTCGAACCTAAAACAAAAGTTGTGAAAACCTAATTTTGAATCAGCCTTAAGAGATATAGATTACCCATACAAGATCCGGGTTCTTGACAATCCTTGGCGATTCTATACTATCAAAACAGAAAATTTCAAAGATTGCGAATTGAATCGACATATACAAAAACTGTAAAAGTATAAATTTGATTTAAATTCACGAATCGAAACCCACCAGAGGTATAAAAGGAGATGAAGTAATGATGCTTCTATGAGAATACAACATTTGATTCATGAAATCGAGCGATGTTCTTCGTTTTGTTCGGTGATTTTTTTTTTGTAATAAGACAACGAATTTTCAACAACAAAAATCTATCCAAATACATTAACATAAGAGTTACAAAAAAAAAAAGGAAAATTAGAAATAAAGGATAAATATTTAAGTATTTGTCCATATATGAATTCTATGAACAAATATCAACTATTCCTAAACTACCCCTTACATAAAATTGAACCAATTGTTTCAAAAATAATTAAGAAAAATATGTATTAAAATGATAAAGAAGACATGAAGATATATAAAATTTCAAAAATATATTGTTTTGTTTTCGTTTTAGATGGATAAAATTTGATCTATAAAGTTTAGAATATGTCTTCTGAAATTAGAATGTATATTCTATACACTCTACATGTTCTACAAAATTAGATTATGTATTCTACACACTCTACATGTTCTACAAAATTTAGAAGTCATTTCTGTTCTACGGTATTTAGAATACTAGTTTCTACGACTTTTAGAATACATATTCTATACTTTTTTCTTTGTTCTACAAAAATTAGAATATGTTTTCTAATATTTACTCATGTTCTAAGAATGTTAGAAAACATATTCTTAAGATTTTTTTTATTCTCTAAAAATTAGAAAGCACATTCTCTCTAATTTAGATTTAAAAAAAATATATATCTTAAAATATGGAAATTGAATATAGTGAATTTGATTACATCTGCAAATTACAGAAGTTGAATTTTGAATACTTTAAAATTCTTTATACCTAAATGAATAAATTATAACACAAATTAGAATTTTTCTTTATACTTCACACTTTTTCCTATAGACTTAATTTATTGTCTCAAAAGCCAGAAAATTAGTTGAATTTTGAATACTTTAAAATTTTTTATACCTAAGTGAATAAATTATAACACAAATTAGAATTTTTCTTTATACTTAACACTTTTTCCTATAGATTACGCTTAATTTCTTGTTTCAAAACCCGAAAAATTATAGTTGCGCTCCATAAAGAAATTGAAATCAAGGGAGTGAGATAGAGAGAGAGATTGAAGAAGAAGAAGAAAACAAAAATTATTTAATATGGCGTTATTAGAGAGGAGAGAACAATTACGAAAGCTTAACTTTGATGAGCAAGAGAATCAAAGAAGAAGAAGTTATGAAATTATCTACGGCAAAACAAATAATGGAATGTAAATAAATGTTGATTTTGTCCTATATTTTTCCAAATTGTTTTTAGAAAGAAATCAATTTAATTTTGAATTTTTTAATAGTTTAGGAAGATTTTAAAAGACTGGGGGCATATTGGGATTTTAATTATATAAAATCATATATGACTAATATTAAAGTATATATGACCAATCATGAATATAGAATGCATAGATGGACAATAGTTTAATTATTTGTCCTTTATTTCTAATTTTCCCAAAAAAAAAAACATAAGAGTTTTCCTAAATGGCTCCATGAGGTTTACAATTGGGCCTAAAACAATATTTTAAAAGCCCATATAAACTTTATTCGGAAAAAGTATTTGGGCCATTAATTAACACATTGTTTTAGAGGATTTCTGAATTTTATAATAAAGTTTAATAAACAATACTGTTGCATTAACATTATTATACAAATACAATTATATGAGTTTAAGTTTCTTTCAAATAAAATTTTCCTATTCTAACTATTACACATGTCTTTTGTAAATGTAAAAATTATCTTTTGATCACTATAACCAGTTTTAGTTTTTTCAAACAAACACATACAAATATTTAAAATAAACAATTACTCTAAAATTGTAATGAAACAGACATAAAATAAATGTCGGTTGCAAATATTTTAAAAACACCAAAAAATTAATCTCACTTAATATACTACATGTACGGTATATATTCTAATTTTCACAAACAAAAAGTAAATACATAATATATTTTAAAAAATATTTTTAAGAAAAATGAAACCCCGCACGTACGTGCGGGTCCAGATCTAGTGAATAATATAAGAGGACACTTTTGGAAAGAACATAAGAAAAAAATATTTTTACAATACATAAATGAGGAGATTCTGGTCCGATTGGTAACCAAAAATTGTATAAGTTTTTTAGTTGTTAGCGGGAGTTGTAAGCTTTTTTCGAAATAGTGCAAAACTGTAAGAAAGAACTGTACGAAAAAGCTGTACAAAAACGTTGAGAGTAAAATTTTTAATAACACTTTTTGATAAAGTTTTTATGATTGATAAAAATAAAATATGTACCATTTATAATACTTTAGTTTTGTTCACCGATCAAAGCTTCTATCTGTGTTAGAAAAAGTTCTACATATTTTAAAAATAGTCAATTTATATGATCTCGGAAACAAGAAAATAAAAAGATGTGGAATTTTGTAGATCAAAGAGCGTCAAAATCAAGACAGCCCATACTTTCTTATTCTTATACTAATAATACTAGATTTTAATTCGCGTGATGATTTATTTTTTAAAATTAATATATATAAAATTTTACAAATTGTATCTCCTTATAAAATAGTTATATTTTATAGTTTACAATTTTTATTAAGTAACGGTATACCACGAGTTCACGGGACAATTGTTAATAACTGAAGATTTAACCTATATTAAAGCGGCATGTTAATGATATTTCAAAATTTTATAAATATTGATTCAAACTCGCCCGCCATATAAACCCGTTCCAAAATATGACCTGTCCTGTAATTTCTTAACTAAACCCAGGATTTGGTTTCTAAAAGTAATGATTTTAAAATTGAATGATTATTTACTATATATAAAATTTTACAAATTGTATCATTTTCTAATACATTTATATTTTAATAAACTGAAGATTTAATCTATATTAAATCAGCATTTTAATGATATTTTAAAATTAAATATTGTCTACCATATAACTCCGTTCAGAAATATAACCCGTCCTATAATTTTTTAACCCGTCCCGTGATTTGTTTTCTAAAAGTTGTAATTTTAAAATTTTAACGATTATTTATTATATATAAAAGTACAAATTGTATCATTCTTTAAGACATTTATATTTTATAGTTTACAATTGTTATTAAGTAACATTATACCATGGGACAATTTTTGGTTTTATACAATCTTTTCTAAATGAGACTGCTTTGATATGTCTAATAATGGTAGTATTAAAAAAAAAAAAGATTTAATCCGTATTGAAGTGGCAGATTAATGATATTTTATTGTTTTTAATTAATTTTGATTCAAAAACATGTCCCGTCAAACCCGTCTTGCCAAAAAACCCATTTATTTTATTAATGTTGATCTTATTTATGATATGATTCTTAATCATTATCTAAATATTTTATTCGATGTAGATAATATATGTCCCTTTTTTAATTTCGAATCACACTATATGCTAAAAAAAATTATTTTTTTTTTCTTTATAAACAGTTAAAAACAAATCAAACAAAGATGGGAGGAGAATCATAATTCTAAATCTTAATCAAATCTTTTAAATATCTAAATTATTAAATATAGAATATCCGGTGTATGAGTTGAATTAAATATAACCCGACTCAACAAACTTTTCATGACCAAAATTTGTAAACGGGTCGGATACTCATTATATCCAAATATATATTTTTCCCCACCCGTTAAAAATGCACTTCAAAAATACTAATATAAATTTATTTAGTATATGCTTTAATTTAATTTAATACAACAACCTCGTAGCTTAGGAGCAAGTTCATAAATTGATATACATAAGTTATTTTAAAAATAGTTGGGGATGTGCCTTTAGTCAAGTGGTTAAGTCCATTTGACTCTGCCTTTCCACCGGAGTTCGACTCCACTAAGTCGCATTATCCCGCGTAGTTTAGATTGGTTATCGATCGAACCTTGTCGATTCAAAAATGTAAAAAAAAAAAAAAAGTTATTTTTAAAATAGTTATCAGAGAAAAGAAAAGTTGGTTGGGGTTATCATGGTGCTGGAAGACAACCGTTCAGCAGGTATGGCTCGAGTATATTATAGAAAAATTAGTGTGGCAAATATAAAATTTTAATTTCGAGTGTGGTCATATGTTTTTATATGGTCATGATCTTCTATATATAATATACACAACTATCAACTATGATCTATTAATTTTGTTTATATATATATATATATTATCTTTCTTGTCTCTCCTCTTCCTTCTTTTAAACAAGTACAGTACATCTTTTGCCTTTTATTTCTAAAGAAAATCAAATGCTATTTCTTTTTCAAAATTTTCATTGGTTCTAGTTTTGAAGAACAAAAAATATTCGAAAGGGTATTTAGAGTTCATTTTTCAAAACAATATTTTTTGCGCTTTCAATAAGGTTTATGATTTCGGATTTTATAGTTTAGTTTTGGAGATTTAGAGTTCATATTTAGGGTTAATGTTACGAATTTTGGGTTTAAGTTTAAACTATTTTCTTAGTTTTTTTTAAAAAATATAACACATCAAATGTAATTTTATTTATTTTTACATGTTATTCAGTTTAAAAACATAAAAAACATACAAAAACATACAACAAAATTCATTATGTGCAATAATATGAAATAGAACAAAATAACATTTGAGAGATGATTCTCAGAAAAGAATATGAGAATATAAACATAACTCATTCTTGTTTTAAGAGTTATTTACAATCTAGCACACTTTCTCAAGTTCCTTATCACTATGACACACTTCTTAGTTTCGACAATGTTATGATGTGTGATAAAGTCTTAAATACCCTCAAACTAAATCTTCTATAGTTCCCTTTCCAACTTATCTGTTTGGATAAAAAAAAGGAAATTAAAAAATTAAGAGAAACCAACTTCTTCGTCTCTCTCGAGTAGTTCTCCAACCCTAACCCTCTCTTTCAAATAAGAACGCGTGAACCACACTTTTCACAACTTCGTTACTCTTCGTCCAATACAACTTCTTCGCTTCATCATCATCCTCCCAAACATTCCTTAAGCTTCCTCTTCCCATGTACTCGTAAACCATCAATGTGTTGCGGCGGAGTTTCACGACGTTCCGGTGACGGATCTCAGTGAATGCTCTGATTTTGTTTAGGAACTCTTGTTTTATCGATGAATTTGAGATCGATGAGTTTGTTTTTTCGTTTAACTCACAAAACCCTCAA